CCGACTGCAACTTGAACTACACCCACATATGATCGACCATCATAAAAAATGGCAATGAATGTCAAACTCTAGCTAGTCTTCGGCTTCTTCCTACATCCGGTTAAAGTTTGAATCACTAGTGATGACACCCTAAAAGCAAAAAACTCAGTTCTCTAAAAACAGTTTTAGCAGATTATTCTGTTAACAGTGGTGCAAATATTTCAGACCTGTTTGTGTAGAAGTTCTCTGACAGTGAAATCACTAAGTGTGTGAGCTGCAGTTCAGATTTTGCATATATGCACATTTGGACCAGATCCAAACTTTATGATCTGTTGAAAAAATAATAATTCAAAAGATTTTGTAATATTGTTTGGCAAGATCCATAACAGTAAATTAAATGGGAAACAAATGGATATTCTTGTCATACACTGGGATGGAGATCTCACTTTTCAATATTAACTAATACTCTTTTGAGCACTAATAATTAATGATGGGTTTGATAATGAATTGCATTTAATATATAAAGTTGATAAAAAATTGCTGAACTAGGATGTTTGAAGGCAAAGACCAGAAAAGGACATGCAGTCACTTCATGATCCTGCAGAGAATATCCATTCTCATAAATATTTAATCGAGACATAGTCCTTGTGATGCTCTTAAAAGCTCAAAATAGACATTGAAGCTAAATTGAAAGAAAGAGGTGGACTATAGGCACCTGATGTGTTGTGTAAAACTAAATAATCCTTAGAATTTTTGAAAACAATTTGATTTATTAAATAATTTTACAAGTTTTTCCTGGATTATATATACGGTTATAAGAAAACTTGCCTTCAAAAGCAGAAAAAAAGAAAATAAAAATCATTTTGGAGCTGGAACCCTGTATGCAATAAAAATAGCAAAACAAAAACAGTCTTGGTTGTTATCTTTGAGTCTATGTAGTAATCATGGTGAGTGATTTCACCAAAAAAGAAGATAATGCAGATGATGAATTGGCAAGTCTTTCAGTGATGAATCAGCCCATCTTTAAGTGATGAATCCGCCCATCTTTAATTGATGAATTGCCCCATCTTTAATTGATGAATCAGCCCATCTTTAATTGATGAATCAGCCAATCTTTAATTGATGAATCGCCCCATCTTTAATTGATGAATCAGCCCATCTTTAATTGATGAATCAGCCCATCTTTAATTGATGAATCGCCCCATCTTTAATTGATGAATCAGCCCATTTTTAATTGATGAATCGCCCCATCTTTAATTGATGAATCGCCCCATCTTTAATTGATGAATTGCCCATCTTTAATTCATGAATCGACCCATCTTTAATTGATGAATCAGCCCATCTTTAATTCATGAATCGCCCCATCTTTAATTCATGAATCGCCCCATCTTTAATTCATGAATCAGCCCATCTTTAATTCATGAATCGCCCCATCTTTAATTCATGAATCAGCCCATCTTTAATTGATGAATCAGCCCATCTTTAAGTGATGAATCAGCCCATCTTTAATTGATGAATCAGCCCATCTTTAATTGATGAATCGCCCCATCTTTGATGAATCAGCCCATCTTTAATTGATGAATTGCCCATCTTTAATTCATGAATCGACCCATCTTTAATTGATGAATCAGCCCATCTTTAATTCATGAATCGCCCCATCTTTAATTCATGAATCAGCCCATCTTTAATTCATGAATCAGCCCATCTTTAATTCATGAATCAGCCCATCTTTAATTCATGAATCAGCCGATCTTTAATTGATGAATCGCCCCATCTTTAATTGATGAATCGCCCCATCTTTAATTGATGAATCAGCCCATCTTTAAGTGATGAATCGCCCCATCTTTAATTGATGAATTAGCCCATCTTTAATTGATGAATCGCCCCATCTTTAATTGATGAATCGCCCCATCTTTAAGTGATGAATCAGCCCATCTTTAAGTGATGAATCGCCCCATCTTTAATTGATGAATCAGCCCATCTTTAAGTGATGAATCGCCCCATCTTTAAGTGATGAATTGCCCCATCTTTAATTGATAAATCGCCCCATCTTTAATTGATGAATCAGCCCATCTTTAATTGATGAATCGCCCCATCGCCCCATCTTTAATTGATGAATTGCCCCATCTTTAATTGATGAATTGCCAAGTGTTTCATAGATGGATCCCCAAGTCTTTCAGTTAAAAATTATGAAATCTTTTAGTAATGACTTCACAAATCTTTTCAGCCCCATTATGTCACATCATATAAATCTTTAGGTACTTTCATCATGTGTTTGTTGGCAAATTTTTATATAGTTAACTTATTGCCATATATAGTCAAACTCTAGCCTATACCCAGACTCCATGACTGCAATCAGATATATTTCTGGAAAAGGTGCAAGGCATTAGGGACTGATCAGTTAATTTTCAGATGAGGGTATGGGATTTTTCAGAGAGAACATTTTGCTCCCTACATAGCTTGGAGAAAATTCTTGCTCTTACACAGTGGAACCCTGCTATAACGTGCCCTGCCATAACACAAATTCGGATATAACTCTGTCGTAGCATGGCTCTCAAAATTTCGTATCTTCATTCACACATGGAGAAAAATCTTTTTGAGAAAAGTAAATCAAAAACAAAACCAGAAATTAACTTCATTTTAAGCATGAAATTTGTTGTGACTTTTAAAATATGATAGTGGCATGGTTCATGAAATTTGAAATTCAATTACATGTATATAGATAAAATAATTTGAAAAACATGACATTTATGTTAACTGAATTTCTTTTAAGTTAATCTCCTGCTTTTCTCTAGCAAATGAAACAGTTGGTTCCCTAGAAAATTGTAACTGCAATAATTGTAAATCTTGTGAAACATTCAGATCTCAAGTCTGTCACTTGAATCCTGACTGATTCATTCAGCTCTGATGTCAGTTACTTGAATGCCAACTGATTCATTCAGCTCTTATGTCTCTCAGTTGAATGCTGACTGATTCATTCAGACACTTGAATGCTGGCTGATTTAGCCCAAAGTATCAGCTGATTTGGACCATGTGAATTATTGTAAAAAGAAATGCCATGGAGCATGCACACCTAATTTATTTTAGTAGTTATTACTGTGTTTTGCAAACATAAGAAAATGTAAAGCTTGATTTTTAATTCATAAAATTGCACAAGATAGTTTTTCATAAATCTTTGGCCAGATTAGAAAAAAATTAGCCAAATAACTTTTCAGTGTTTACAATAAAAATACTAAACTCGTTCTTTGAATTTAAACTTTCTTGTGAACAAGGCCAGTATGGCCAATTTTCATCACCAGGAAACAGTAATGTAAATAAATTGTCCCATGTCTTTTATTGATTTCTCATGCACGCCATGTCTTCTTTCCATTGTTTAATGCTGTGTAAGAGCAATAAAACTTGATCTGCTGTTACCATTTAATGTTTATCTTGTGAGTAAAACTGAAACCAGCAGATGAACATGGTTTATTTTCATTCTGACTTTCAAAATTTTGCTGATATTAATGAAAATGAATATTTCAATCCATTACACAGCTATATTACATGTATAATAAAATTTCAATGTAGCCAAAGATCACAAAGCTATTTGAACAGAGCATTATATTTTGTGTTCTATAATTACTCTCGCCTTTGGATGATAAACATTTGATCTTAGAAATAGTTAAAGCTTCATGCAGATAAACTCCACAAATAATGAGCAGTTATATTTAAAAATACCAAGATTTATATTGTACAATATTTAAAGGAAAATTGAGGTAAAGACAACTCTTGTAAAGATGGAGATGGAAAATGAAATGTCCTACAAATTAGCAGTAAATGTACTGATGAATCTTATGGTATTGTATAAACACACACTTATAACCACGGGTTGTTTTGTTGTTTTTTTTTTTGTTTTTCCCCCAGCTCTTTCTTCATCACATACACTGTGGGATGTGTTCATAGAATATCAACATTTATATACTGAAAAATGATGTTAAACCCACACAAAAAACATGTACATACATACCTATAACAATTTTGATGAACAACAAATAATGCATTTTCAAGGTCTTCATCACTTTTCACAACAATTGACCTGAAATACTCTGTTAAATGTGATCAGTTTTGTCCTGATGAAAACTTGAATTTATTTCATTTAATTCAGAGTTCAAAAGAAATAAAGCAATGCTTTTGCTGTATATGCTGGGCTACATGTCCATAATTTGGAACTTGTCTTGTTCTGCAAATCTACTGTTAAATGGATTTTTATTCACATTGCTTTATTATATGTAATTTTAGTACATAAAGTATTGTCCAAAAGTATTAGAAAATGTGTAAAAATAAATATTTTGGGGAAGAGATAGTGTACGAAAAAATGCATTATAGGACATAGAGACGGATTTAATATATATGATCCAATTCAATTTAAATTCATGTACAGATGACATAAATGCACTAAGCAGCGACCACTCTGGTGGCCTAGTGGTTGGAGCGTCCATCTTGGATGCGGGAGGTCTCTTTTTTGAACCCGGCCGAGTCATACCAAAGACTTTAAAAAATGGTACTAACAGCTGCTTTGCTTGGCGCTCAGCATTGAGGTTAGTGTTAGGACTGGTCGGCCTGGTGTCAGGATAATGTGACTAGGTGGGACATGATACCACATGTCTGCAGTATGATGACGTAGTGCTAGACATCACTATAAACTGTCACACTATATATATAGTTAGTTAAATGTTGCTAATTATTTCACAAATGAAGTAATCTATTTCAATTTTGCACAAAGTAAAATGATCTTTGCAAACATTTCACTATTAAATTGGCAGTGCAAGATAAAGTGTTATTACAGTGTTTAATTAGATTTTTGTACAGAACAACCTTATTATCTCGCCTAAAACCTGGGTGATACTTTTTTTAATGAGGTTTTGAATTGTTAAACATACCTGGGAAATAATGACAAATGTCATGTTTGAAGCAATTTGAAATGTTACGTTTAAACATGGGGTCAAACTTGGGGTCTGAATCAGTCTGCAATCCTTCGTTGCAACTTTGGTGGCCTAGTTGTTAGAGGGTCTGCCTTGCATGCGGGAGGTTGCGGGTTCAAAACCCCGGCAGGGTTATACTAAAGATTTCTCAAAATGGTACATAGAGCTGCCTCGCTAAGAGCTGAACATTACAAGGTTAGTGTTACGACTGGTCAGCCTGGTGTCAGGATAATGTAACTGCAAACAGTATAGCAATATGAGTGAAAAATATAAAGCTATACAAATCACAACATTAGTATTTCACCAATAAAATAATTTTCAAAAAATCCAGTTTCACGTAACAAATATCTCATTTTTGAACAAAGGAAATATCGTTTTGTTTGAGCAAATGACATTGCAGGCTCACATCTTCATGATGTGTTGTTTCACACGATCTTTCAGAGATTGGATTTTTTTAAAATAAAGATAATTTAAAACTAAAATATGAATATTTAAATTACAAAAATGTTGTTTATTTACAATTTCTCAAATACAATTACAGAGCGTATGTTCACATTAGGTGGTTTGCCCTTATATGTGATGTGTGAAGTATTTTGCACTAATTTAGGAGTATACACAATTCTGGGATTTTGCTACCACAGAAATGAAAAATGTTTAACATATCAGAATAGACTACGTTTTTGTTTATTTAAAAAGTTGCATACAGGTTTGTCAAAGAAGCCCAAAAGATGTTTTTTTCAAGTACCTATACAGAACTTCTTCGGAGTTATCTTAGAACAGACTTAGACAATCTTTTGACTAAAAACGTGAAAACCATTATTTGATATTGTTCTGGAGAAAATGAAGTCGCTGGTATTGAGAATAACACCCAGTGTGTATGAAGCGATCAGCGAAAACTCAATGTAATTAGGAAATATTGTATATCTAGTAGCAATAAAGATCATCAAGGATACATTAATTAAAGAAATGGTTTTAGCATTGTGATAAAACAATGGCATTCACACGCACCGACCAAAGATATATTTAAGCAAAGAATCTACAGCATGAACTTTCTGCATAAGGGCCAGAAAGTGTGGGTTTTTTTTATCAACGCAGAAGGAGCGGAGTACTAGTTTGTGTAATATATTTTGTAGGATTAGAGGTGTTTCATTGAAGGTAATTTTACCTAAAATGGGACTTTTGAAGGAAATTTTATCTGATTTGTGGCCTTCTGATCTCATTAAGTACAGCCTGATATGAGATTAAAAATCTCTTTCTTGAGAGGGGTAAAGTATAGAACAATTTATGATTGTAAATTTTAATTCCACCTTTGGATTATGAAGTGTTTACTTACTACAGCATATAGGTCAGATAATAAAAAAACAAATGAGAGATTAAAGCAATTGTGTTATTAGGATTTGCATTTGTATCGCATATGACTGATGCAACTGCCTTCAACAGCTGTATGGTTAAATATGAAAAGTCATACACATCCCAACTGAGTAGAAATTGCATGTTATGATGAGAATGAACAAAACCACCTACGTATCGCAGTCAGTACTGTTGCTGAGGTAGTCGAGAATGTTCATCAGCGATTATGAGTGCCTGAGCATCGGTTACATGAATGACATGGTGATTTTGAAAATTATCACACGCATATTTCAAACAGATACGCACAAAGTCAAAGACGATAGAAAACTTTTATCAAAGCTGATTCCTGGAATCGTATCAGTGTTACAACGCTCTGGAGTTTAAACAAATATTGTGTTTAGCATACATTTGACTATGTCGCTTAATCGTATATCAGACGAAAATGGAGTCAAAATCTAATGATTCTGCTCATCATCTTAAACAGTAAAGACACCAAAGAATATTAATTATGAAATCGACAAATTGCAAAAATGCAAGTTCAAGATGAATTGTTGGCAGATGTGTGACATTTTTCCTCAATTCCGCGGATTCAGTTACATAGCAACACTAAAGAATTCCGACGCGATTGGTAAAAAATATGACGAACAATTACAAGCAATGTTTTTAATGGTCGCTTGATACAGTGTTTCATCCCACGAGTTACGAAGCAGACCATCAACGGAAATACCAGCAATTTTTAGGTGAACTAAGTTTTGGTGATACAGAATTTCCTGTGTAAGTAGCTAAGGTCACGCCCGAAATAAATTTATGTGTTTGTTAGTGTCCTTTTATTCACTTGCATTATCCTCAAATGTTTCAAAGGAAAATTTCGCATTGTTGCGGGGCGAGGCGGGACGGGGCATTTCCATTTTGTTTTACTGACATAGTAAGTACGATGGTAAAATGTTTCCATGCAGACATTGATTAATTTACTTGCCACAAAATATCAGTTTGACGACCATTTATTTTACTGTTATGGAATGAGTAAAAACTGCCTAATAGGAACAATGGTGTATAACACGGTAAAAATGTTTTGACAGAGCGCAATGCAACGTAAGATGAAAGTTATGTATGTTATTTGCGGGCACTTTCAATGTTGCCGTGAGAACTGAAGGTTCAAACGACAGCCAGAAAAAGACAACGCAATTTACTGAACAGGTTCCATGCTGGTTTTGTAGCCAGATGTAATAGAGTAACTGAGCCAGCAATGTTATATCGTGTTTCGTGGCCAGGACTCAACTGAGATGTATCCTAAATAGTTCGACGTTGTTGCGAAATGGATCCAACAATGGTTCTTTTTTTTTTCTAGCAGGCAGCATTATGACTAATGATGACATTTATTTTTAGTTTTCCGAAGCCATTCATTGCAGAATATGCAATGACGATTTCATTTCCACTGATACCAAAGTTCGTGAATGCTGTTGTATCATTGGTGCATACAGAGGAGCTGCACACATCGCATGCAATGTACAGTTATGAATTTATTCAAATTAAACACAATTTACTGTTGTTCTTCTTAACCTTCGCCAGTATGAAGGTCATTTAATGGCGGCAGTAGCAACAGTGTCAGTTTCACCTGTAAATGTCATTCCAAACACCATGTAAATACACACGACCTTTCAGCTTCGGCAAAGTTTATTGAATACTTTTTCAATTGCAGCCTGTTTAAATTTAATGCGTTCAGTGATAAAAGAAACCCCGCAATGTGAACGGGGTATGTTCTTATCCGTCCCCATGTTGACAGAAAAACGAGAGGGACATTGTTCGATAAGTAGATTGGATCGGTTCTCAGCGACATCTAATCGGATTGAAATAGCGGGTGTGATTACAGCTTCGATCCGAATTATAACTTCGTACCGTGCAAGCTTAAAGTTAGTTTCTCATGGAAAGATTTTTTGAAAAGTTAGTGTTACTCCGAGAAGCCACTCGTAATTTGGCTGTAAAACTTAGAACAGATTCTAAAGGAAGAAAAGATTCGATAAGGAAGTTTTTTGGGGGACAACTTCTGGTTCAGTTGAGTCCAGAGTCTCTAAACATTCAGCTCCGGTGACCTAAGTGATTAGAACGTCCGCCTGGGATGCAGTAGGTCGCACAGACATAAAGCTGCACTCAGCATTACGAGGTTAGTGTTAGGACTGGTCGGCCTGGAGCCAGGATAATATGAGTTGGTGGGGCACAATGCTACATGTCTGCGTTGGACATGATGCTACATTATCCCCAGTGACAGACATCACTATAGACTGCTACACTACAGACATTGTGAAGATATGACTGAAATTGTTAAAGCTTCGTAATAATTTCAATCAAAAACACGCCTGGATCTTGCACCTTTATTGGAGCAGGTACAAATTTGATAGACTGTGATACAATGCAGTGACTAGCTCATGCTAAAATAGGTAATGGAAACTGAACACAATATTTAGCTTAAAAATTACCTAAATAAACTAGTTATTTAGAGAAGATTTAAATCAATAATCGCATTCTTTCTTTGAATATCCTGATAACGAAAACGATATATGAAGAAAAACAAGACATCTGGAAGAAAATGGCAAAATATAAAAAGGCATTCTGCAGCAGCCTCATCTACCAAGGATAAAAATTTTATCCTAAAAAATTGTATTTCTTTCACGGAGAAAAAGAAAAATAAAATAATAAGGTGGATCATTTTTCGTTTTGTATGTCTGAGCAATACATTAATCACACTGTAGGTCGCTCGCGGCGAGAAATTAGTATTGTACTGTATGCACGGGTACTTTACCCCAAGTCCTGTGCATTCATTTTTCTCATGTATGTATAGGATTATAATTGTTCTATGCGATACGGAGATCACTTGAATCTTGTCAGAGACTGTCAACACTCTACCTTTGAACAACAGTCATAGGGTAAGTGTATTTTTTATTTTTTTATCTTTTTTATTTATGTAAATAAGATACCTTAAGCTACAATTTCCACCACAACCAGCGCTGTATTAACAACACTGTAGGCACAGGGCAAAGCAATGCACTGGGACACCATTATTGTACATTAACAATATAGGAAGCATGATTCCTACCGAAGTGCGAGGCTCTGGACAAATGCCCAGCAAGCCCATGCCTTAAGACGGCCTGATCACAACTCAAATCAGAGCTCTTATACAATTTTTTTTTTCAAGCGCTTCTTGAATGTCACCAATATTGATATTAATGATTGATTAATTGATTTTGCAGTATATGATTTATTGATTGCAGGAATTGAACACATATAAACTAATGTATATGTCCCCACAGGAGAAAAAATCGACATGCAAAATATTGGTTCATGTCAGTGACCTTAAAGAAATTATCGATGATATGATTGATGAAATTTATAGGTGAGAAGAGGGATATGATTTGGCGTACGAGGGTGGGTGGCATATTGGAATGCATTCTTTTCTAGGAAATGTTGTGGCCCTGATAAGGGCGGTTTGTGTTGAAGCTGTGATACTTAGCAGTCGTAGTACATGTTCCTGACACCCTCCATAACTGCCATTCGAAGTTGCATCTTTTATCGCAAAGATCGCATGTTGTCTTAATTGGTTTTCTTGTAGCGTTTCAGCAGGGCAAAAGTTTATGGTTAAGGATAACGATTTGCTCGCAGGCCATTTGGGAAATACTTCTCCTTCTTCAATAGTGTAAATCTCTTGTCGAGCGATTTACTGGAATGCATTTTGTATGGCTGTGGAAAAGTGGCAAGTGTAATGTTGGGACTGGATGCCAGTAATGTTACAG